CTGTCTTGTGTACTACTGTCAGGTATAGTGAACATTTCAGCAAATATGACACAAAAATATTTATATAAAAATGACCTACTGCAGCTTTAACAAAAAACAAAACACATCTAAATTGACTTTTGCTGAAATGATGTTTTTAAACTAGTATCAGCACAGTCTGCAATCAGTAAAAAGGAATCCATGTGCAGCCCAGAGCTAGATCTCCACCAGAGCAACCTGACAAACACAGCTCTTTTACCGCAGCTAATTGTTGAGCACGTTGCTCCCTGATCGAGCCATATGTGATGAGTATCTGCCTCTTTCAAAACCGCCTAAAGGGGTCCAAATGTACCTCACTGTGGCTTGAGAAAGACGTAACTACTCCGCTCAATTGATTTCTTGTACTGGAGCTGAATTGAAACCTTGTTAGACCTGTGACGCTCTCTGCTCACCTGTGGTGTATTTATATTCACACTGCTCCAAAATAAATGTCCTTGTCAGACTTCAACAAATATTAGAGCAAAACTAACATGTGCACCCAAAATACTTAAAATAGGTGCAGCCAAAATACTTTATATGTTTACTTCAGGGATTCATAACTGGACCGTCTGGTCAAAGCAGGAAGGAAAAGGGGAAATGTATGACAAACACTGGATCTCATGCCATATGATTTGCATTGTGTCAAACATGAGAGAGATCAGTGTGAGTAAATATCTCTGCTGTGATAATAATTCTAATTCTACATTTATGACTATAACAACACACTTACACATAGTGTTCTCTATTAACTCTAGCAGCTAGTCACTTCATCTAACAGAAAAAAGCCTTCAGTCTGAAGACAATGTAGGCAAAAGTCTGCATTTAAACTCTGCCCTTTTTACCCCAACATTATACTCAACAGGCAATTAGTTCTACTTACAGAACACTGCCATGTTCTTCTTCCTGTTAATCATTAGGACGTTCAATGTTCCCTGACGTTGCAGGAAGAAATTCTGTCTGTTTGTTGGTTTTGTTGCACAGCTCAGGTAAACACCCGATTGTTCCAGCAATCTGTGATAAGTTAACCATCTGGTATTCCAGCCACTCTTATATGCACTGAACCTGACCTTTGGTGATCAAGGTGTTGACCACACAGTTGGGCTTGTACACTCTACGTACTAGTTGGCTTTTGCTGAGTCTGAGTGTAAATACGAGCACTGTACGTAAAAGTCCTCTGAATAACTGAGGAGATAAACATTTTCTTGTTTGGTTTCTTTTTTGTGAAAAATAAAGTATGTGTTATCGCTTGTTGCCTTTCTCCTGCAATTTTGTTGAGAAAAAAAAAATGCCTAAAAACATCACAACATGCATCGCAATATTCTTCTAGAGAGACTGCCATGTAATCAGACATTTTAGGACAAAAAACCCAAAGCCTGCAAAATCCCCAAAATCTCACAAATCATGTTTTCCAGGGTACAGCTCCCCCTGGCTCCCCTGTAGTTATCACCCTGGAACCCACAGAGAACTATCACCTACTTCCTCTCAGCTCTACAGAACCTTTAAGTGTCTTTCAGGTCATTGTTTGGTGGTCAACTTTATCGCTTCAATTCACTCTCAATGCTCTTATCTGCACTGTTCCTACCAGCAGCAGGCAGCTGTTTTCAGTCATACAAACTGATGAAGCTGATGATACACCCGCTATACACTACCTGCCCAGCAGCGAACAGATAACGTTAAACTAGCTGGTGAACATAGTGGAGCATTTAGCAGCCAAAGATATTTATCTCATGACTTGACCTATGGAGACCCTAAGGGGGAAAAAAACAAAATAACTACCCGTCTTGCTAAACTTTTGCGTTTTTCGAGAAATATTTTGAGGGTAAAAAAGCACTTCCAGAGTATTGCAACATGTGTGTTGTTTGGGAAACAGCAAACCAAAGCTAAGTTCATATATTTTTATTTTGACTTAAATATAAAGAAAGTACGGAGCCCCCCTGGACATTGGATAAAAAAAAAAATAATGCATGGCCACGAGATAATTATTGCAGTCATTTCCATGCAGAGACTGTTGATTGTTAACATGGTTAAGTTTGAATTAATTTCATTTTATTTTAATATAGGAATGAATTACAACACAACACACACACACACAATGAGACGATTGGGACTTCATCATGTCTTATCTTCGCGGGTGCAGCTTTCCAAGACGTCACTTCATAATGGTTCCCATGCACAAGAGAAAAGGCTGCTCTTGTGTGAAGTTAAACGCAACATTTTTCAACTTTCCTGCGAAGACATATGTGTACTTTTTTGCACGAAAATGAGGGATTATGGAAATCTTGTAAGCCCCTCTTGATTATGTGGCAAAGTGCGGCATCTTTGAAAAAATGCACCCCCGCATAAATTGCAAACTTTGGCTGATTATGCGTTGAATTATAAATCGCATACATCGATTTTTTCCTGGAGGGACTGCATTTTAGCATTACAACATGACATGTCCCACTTCACTTAGACGTAAGCTCCTCCAGCCAGTCATAGATATAGTGCATTACACTCGCCATCACAATAATAACAAAGCTACCGCTTGAATACAAAAGTCAGACTATTAATTATTTTCATGAATAATAAACAGCATCACTACAGCTCATATGGTATGACCATCCGCTTGAAGGTGAATTATCTCGTGGCGACGAGAAGTATATGCGTTGGCACGCATTATTTTTTTTTATCCAATGTCACCAGGGGGGCTCCGTAAGAAAGTCAGTGCTCTGTTCTAGGTATGGTTTTCAAGTTAGTGATCTGACAAACTGTACATTTATCAAATCCAGTGCCCCATGTCACTAGTTCCACCAAAATTAGTGAATAAAGTTGTGCTTTTGTACGATAGGGCCCAGGCTTCTCGCCTTTTCCAGCACAAGTGGACTAGCTGCGTGGCTAACGGAGATAACGAAGATGCCTCCTGCACGTGCTCTTGAGGAAGTCCGCCATTTTGCAGCTAGGTGCTCTTGAAAAGCTTTGCGAAAGAATGAAAAAATGTTTCTTGAAAGAACGCAAATGTTTCCTTCTCCCCCGTGTCCCCATAGGGTCTCTGTGAGAACCTGTGACCATTAGATGTTATATGATATGATGTTGATATAAGAAATAGGAAAAAAAGAAGGATTGGTTGGATGGATGAACATACTGGTTAGTGCTTGGTTAGCAGCTGGTTGGAGTTTGTGTTATTCAAAAGTAAAGTAACTCAAAAGTTAGCTGCTTCCTGTGTTTCCTAAACACATTCACCGCACCCCACCTCCCCCACCCTCCCAGACATCCACACATGGACACCAACTGTGTCCTGTTTCAGCGCCCAGTGTACCACCACCCTTCAGTTGTTGTCGAGCACTCCCAGATTCTTGGGGAAAGTAGTTTATTGTGATAACAGGAAGAGTCCCAAATTACTGAGCAGGGTGACTGCGAGTCAAAACTGGGAGAACACTTAAAGTAGTTCAGAGAGGACTCAAAATAGCGTTGTACACTTAGCTGGTGGGCGTGCTCACATGCTTGCAGATGTGTGCATGTGCTCTTTCATTTAGCTACTTGTTCTTTTCAAGTTACCACAAGGGAACATCCCACTATACAGTATGTAGCATGTGGTCTGTGCTCCCGCCATGGTGTTAATTTCATTAACTGACAGACGTTGAGAGAGTGTTTTCAGATTTACTGTATGACTCTGCACTGATGCTTGTACGTCTGTTTGATAAACTTACAGAATACTTCCGCAACATGGGAAAAGATGTGGACAGAGTTGTTTCACTTTCACACAAAAAGCTACTTACTTTCACTTTGTGGTACCAGTGGGTGGAAAAGTTGGATCTCAGTGACTCAGTGTGCTACAGTTTGTACTTGGCACCATCATGGCTTTAAAAACCCTCAGTGTGGCTACAAAAACGGTTTCAAGGCTACATACAGTACAGTGAGGCAATGAGATGTCGCTGCATCCAGGCTAGAACTCTCATTTAGATTCAATTGTGTTGAGTTTAATTGCTTCATGTCTTGAATGCACAACTTCATATTCTCGCAGACATGCCACATGACAAAAAGCTTGTCATGCACACATGCGTGTAAAGCATGTATGTTTTGCATTTACTGCTGACCATTTTTCCAAAAACCTTACAAACAACGCTATGCTGTGAAAAATAATTGGGAACAGCCTTTGGTATCTATTTTTGTTCATACTAATTTATTTCTAGCAGCCAAAACTTTCTTTAATTGAGTAATTAAGAATCAAGTCTGCTTTGATTTTGATTTAGTTTTATTATTTTAGTGAGGCAATCTCAGGCAAGTTTCGCCTTGCTCAAAGTAGATTTTAATAGTGTGGTAAAATTAATGAAATAAATGGTTGCCTGGGTGGAGGTAAAACAAGAATGTGTTATAGAGTACTTTTGTGTACTTTTGGCTGTGGTTCCAAAAGAAATCTACAATTTTTGCATACAGTGTCCATGGAAAGACGCAAGGCAGCTCACACTGAGGACAAAGACATGTCCACACAATTTGGGGGAAAAATGCACACTTATTCATATGTCTTTATAAAGCTACTTCATAAATGGAAAAAACAGAGTTTCTAGAGAGTTCTGAGATCAGTCCTAGTTGCTAACTACAGCTATCTGTACAGTTTTATTTGTTATTTGAAGCAAATAAACCTAGACTTCATAAACAGTCCCGCAGTCTAGTTCCCATGAATTCCATGTGGTGAAAATTCTCTTCACTTTAAGTCTGAACACACTGTTAGAAAACAGTGTGCTTCCAACATTATTAGCCAGGCCTTATCACCCAACATCGGTGCTGCACCTCACTAATTGTGGCTGAATGGGAGCAAATCCCTGGAGCCAGGTTCAACATCTGGTGAAAAGTTTGCCCACAAGACTGGAAGCAGCATACAATATTAGTCCCTATGGTTTTGGAATGAAATGTTCAGTAATGAAGGAGTGTAATGTCTGGATGTCCGCATACTTTGGGCCAGTGTCTCCCACCTGATCTCCCAGTAGCTACAGTCATGCACTGACCTTTGGTCCTAGTGGCCCAACCAGTCCACCGGTGCCTGGTAGTCCTGGCTCCCCCTGGTTGGACAGTAAACACACTCTGAGAGGCAAAGTGGAGCAGCAGCGGCCAAATTCAACACCATTACAGTAATTATCTGTCCCACTCCAAACACTGCTAATACTGCTGTGACAGGAGGAAATCCCAAACACACACACACACACATGCTCAGACGAAGCCAAACCTCCAGAATTAGAGAACTGTTCTCTTATAGTAGAATTATTTACTGTACATCTGGCTTGACGTGGTTAGGTTGTTACATCTGGCATAATATTTTACTTTCATGAACACCGCAGATTGCATGCTTTCACATCCTCTGTCAGTTAAGCCGGTTTAATGTATGTGTAATTTGGTGTTAGTTCATGTGACTGTTGAACAGAACTGGATCTTACCATTGGTCCGGGTTCTCCTGGAGGGCCCGGCTCACCTCTCTCACTAGGAAGACCCTGGTGAGATGATCACAGTGAATGCTTTGTGTGTCTGTGGTTAATAAGCCTACACATTAGGCCACTAGTTCTAGCCACTAGTAGTGGTACTAAAATAAATTCACGGTGTATATATGAGTCGTACCCCTGTCATTAGGGTGTGGTGTGGTAGTGTGGTGGAACTGATTTATTTCCACTTTCACATTTTGTACATGGATATATATGACTACATTAATATCTAAAGAAATATTTATAGTTTGACAGGATAAAGAAAAATGATTCATGTACAATGGATTAAGAGTCTCCAGCCCTGGCCTACAACTGTGCCACGCATTTTTTTATGATTCTGCCAGTTAGCAGGGCCAACTGGGGCTGATCCGAGACGGCCTGCTCCCTCTAACCAAAGCTACACCTTGCAAAAAAATGGTACAGTCAACACCAGTGTGTCTGTGCTGGTAACTAGAGAAAGTCTTCTTGTTTTCAGTCCTCAGTGCCTTTGTGACTTACCACCACAATCCTCCAGATATCAGCCTTGTTACTGTTTACTGATCACTTTCTTACAAACATATTGATGTTGTGTTAACTAAACGACATTTCCTCCTGCTGCTGACTAAAATCATTTTACTTTTATTGTGAAGCACCAACAGGAAATGCCATGTACTTGTCACCACAAATGGAATGGAACTGTTAGAAGTGGGATAGTACGAGAAGAAACAGCAACAGTGACCTGTTGTCAGGTTCATCAAGATTGGCATGCGAAATTGGCAGGCAATTTTCACTTATACACTTCCAATCTAAAAATGCATAAGAGCTGGCCATACACTACACTGTATATAAACTATACAGATCTCCAATGACCATTAGTTTTGTACATTTGAAACAGTTTCAGCCTAACCTGAGATTCAATACAATAGCCAATCAAACAGTAACTAAAGTAAAATGTCATGGTATTTGTCATGTTAGCACTAACCGCCTTTTATAAAGAATAAAATGTTCAATATTCATTCACTAATTGTTTTAACTATTGATATATGAAGAGAGCTCAAACAAAAACATCACCTACCGCCATAAAAGCATTTTCCCATTTAAATGTTCTCACCTTGGCTCCTGGGGGTCCTGGTTCTCCTGATAACCCTGGTTCCCCTCTGTCTCCCTGGGCAGTATCAGAAGAATCAGGTAGTATCAATACTGGTGGCAGATTAGTAAAGCCACAACACTGATACAACTGCTTCTTTTAAGACTTACCGTGCTACCTTTAACCCCGGGCTCCCCCTTTGGTCCGACTGAGCCGACTTCACCCTGCCCAGCCAAGGGAAGGCAGTAGGTAAGAGCGTGCAATCAAAGGCAGAAATGTATTCACTAGGGTTGAGCGAGATCTCAGCTGAAACAATATGAGTATCATCGAAGTAAAATGTGACAATATCCGTAAATATAGCTTTTTTTTTTAAGTTCTCTTACTCCTGTGATCAAAAATGTTGGTCTGAAGCTCAGTTCTGAGGCTGCTCTGTAAATAGTTTTCAAATACATATAGCAATTTCTGATCGACCCATATCAATTTCAGGCTTAAATCAACAACTTCCAGTTAATTCTGCCCATTTCCAGTTTAAGCCCCACCCATACAAAGTACAGATACAAATACAGATAATGTAATGTTTGCTAAACAAAACAGAAAAAACTAAGTTTTCATTATTATGGTGCTTGAAAATTAAATAGTTGCAATTGCAAATATTGAATTATTATATAGAAGGTTTTCACTTTAATGAGTTTGCTGAACTATTTTTTAAATACAGATTTTATGTTTTATGTTATATTATTAGTTTATTTCAAAACGTCATCAAACTTTTAAAAGTCCATTATGTGGCTTATTATACATGTCCATGCAATTTTGAAGCACCATTTCAGCAATGTCCAGCTGTCTACATTTAGAGCCATTTTATTTGTTGACCAAAATCCTAGAGGGAAACCTTTCCGTAACTTGTAAGCCAGGTCAGCAGTTTGGTGACCACGTACAAGTCGGACCTTTGGGCACAACCTACAGATATTGTTCTGATTCCTAGATATATAAGATCAGCAGTGGAACCACATTGTGTAACGGCTTAAAAGTAATTAGATGGATTTGAAATTCAAACCAAAACTTTACAAGAAGCCTTGTAGTAATTTCTTGATTAAAACTGAAAAAGTGACTTAACACATTAATATTCCAAAATTGAACCAGCATCAAAACTAAACTCTTGTTGGTTTCTGGAAAACAACATGAAATTTATGTTATTACAAGAAACTATGATATCTATCTCCTCAAGTCAATTTTGTAAAAGTAGCCAGATTTGAAATTTTCCCAGGTTCCACAAAGACATAAATCAGGATATCATCAGCATAGCAAGAGACAAAGCCAGATTGATGGAACATATACCTTAAAGAAAGCATGTAAAGGGATAATAAGACAAGGTACTCCAGAGGGTCAAAGAAGCACAATCAGACACTTTGTCAATAAAGCATACAACATATTTGAACATGAGTTCATAAATAATCTTTTCCCTATAAATATTCCAGAAGTTGGTTGCATACAACTTTTTCTAAGGCCCTGCAAGACTAGAGTTGACCTGAGTTTAATTTATTTAATTTTCTTCTAAAATGAAATTAGAAATTGGGACTTTCATTGTGGCTATTCAAATGTGTTCATGCAACAGAATTTTTACCTTCATCCCTGGCAATCCAAGAGGTCCAGATTCCCCAGGTATCCCATCTTTACCCTGGGAACAAAGATAACATTAACTAATTCTATCATGCAGATAAAATGTATCTTTAAGACTGGTGACAAAAGTGTGTAAATAAAAAAAAGTGATGAAGAAACTGATTAGCACTTACAGGCTTACCATCAGGTCCTGGGGGTCCTTCCCTCCCTTTCTCCCCTCGGAAACCCTGCAGCATTAACAAGCCCCATCACGACACACAGAAACATATTCTTTTGATATAGTACATTGTATTGCTCGATAGTTATTTGAAATACATAGGCTCTAATAAATACAAATTTATTTATGGCTCTGTTAATGACAGTGGTGATGGTCAGTCCACCACTTTGGTCCAGACTGAAATATCTCAACAACTATCGGATGGTCAGTCATGGTTTCCAGTTGCTACCTCACAATGACTTTCGTGATCTCCTGACTTTTCCTTTAGTGCCACCATGAGGTTAATTTTTGAAGTTATAAGTGAAATATCTCAACAACTATTGGATGGATCGCCATGAAATCTGACCCCTAACAATTCATTTTAATAACTTTGGTGACATTTTTTAGCACCATCAAATTTGTCGACAAAAATATAATAATAATGATATAATTAAATTTATTTTATTAATAAAATAATGGTAAATACAACAACATAATGTAACAGTACCACTATTAGAGAAGAGTCATAAAGTCAGTGAACATCTCTCTAAATTTTTCTAACATTAGCAAACATTAGCTACCACAAGACTGTAACAGCAAAACCTCTGAGGGTGTTTAATTTAACAGTGAATAATTAAACAGAATAAAGTGTTATTTCTTTTTTCAAATGCAACACATTCTGGCTTTAATCTTTTACATTCCAAACTATTTTTAACAAAACATATATAAAATGACATAACCAAAAAAGTCAAGTTGGAAGTCAACCCCTCTTTATTCATGAGTACTTCATGGTTAGGCATTTCTCCAAAAAGGACACTTAAAGATTCCAAAAACCTCTCTGGGTAAACAAATACTACCGTGACTCATGAGAAGTGAGTCACTACAGCTAGAAGTCATTAGAGGTCATTAGTGGAGGACACAAGTTGAGGTCTGGATATGTGTTTTTTTGGTATGATGCACAAATTCCACATAAAATACGCACAAATTAGTTTGTATTTTCCAATTTGCCTGTTGTGGCCTCACCTCCCTTTTCCATATAGCATATACCACTGTGGATCAGTACATAAATAACCACCAGCGTGGGTAATAGCCTCCATTATAATGATATTGTGTTGACTCCAATTGGAGCAGATGTATGAGAGAAGAGAGAAAAAAAGTATGTGTAAGCAAGTATTGCATTTTATATTTCATCTATTCAGAGATCCAAGTTTATTTTGTAACTCCTACAATCATCATAAAGTTGTAAAGTCGTAAAGCTGGTGTTATAGATGGATTACACGCACTCATCAGCACAGTCAGTTTCATCATAGTTGAGCAATGTGGTGCTGTTGACCCTTAACTCTCACCCCCTTTTTGCTCTGTGTTCCAGTAACATAGAGCAAATAGTTGAGTAAGCTTCGGTCAGAACTTCAGTCAACTTTCACCTTTTCCTGCACTCAGATAACCTATGCGCTAGACTCATCTGTTGAAAAGACAACCACATTTTGAAGATGGTTCTCATAAAAGTGACATTTATATAGTAAAATCTTAAGTTAAAGCCAAACGCAACCTATCTAGCAAATAAATTATGTAGATTAGCTAAATGCTAGCTAGTTAGCTTGCATTTAGGTAACATCAGCTTTCAGATGTAACTAGCCTGCTAACCACTGATATAGATTTAGTTAGCTAACTGATGTAGCTACAACATAACCAACATAAGCTAGCTAACTTAAGATGTGACTATATATACTACTGCCTACCAGTATATGTTGCTTTTATCTTTTAACCATCTTCAAAATTTGGTTGTCTTTTCAACATAGTCTAGACTAGCACACAGAATATCTATGTTCCGGAAAATATATCTGCTTATAAAGGCCCTGACAGAGGCTTGCTCAACTATTATCGGACCACAGAGCAAAAAGGGGCAGGACTTAATAATGCCTAATTGTACATCGTGCTTAATAGCCCTGGTGTCAAAACCACTAGAGGGGCAATAGACAAGTCATATCAAACGTTCTTTGAGACAAAGAGTTGTGTGTGTATTACCATGCGTCCTGGCAGGCCGCGCTGCCCTGGTGGTCCGACCACACAGTTGCAGTCTTCTTCCTCGACTGTGGCTGTTCGATCCAGAGGACACTGAGGAAACACAAGCACAAACTGACGTCTGCAATACAACACACACTCAGAGCTTCCCTATTATACAGAAAACACCAACCAGAATAAGATTAAGCATTTATAATAATATTTTTTCTTGATGTTTTGTTACGGTTTGAATCAAAAGTCTCTAAAGAAGACTTCTTAGCATGAGGTATGAACGTAGCCAGTGATTTCCACTATGTATTATTTAATGATGTAGTGCGATATTGTTACCTTTGCATTACCTCTGTGGCTAAATACTTCTAAGCGAAGTCTAATTAAAAGAAACAGGACAGAAACTGCACTTACCCTTTCATCATCCTGTACAGCAGAAGAGAGAAAGGACAAGAGAAAAAAATAATAGTTATTATCAGTGTAGCCTGATAAATGCAGCTACAGGAGTACAGATTACAGAGATTACAGTAGACACAGTGGAGACCTTACCACAGAGTAGATCTCGCAAGCTGTTTCTCTCTCACTCTGATGAGGATCACAGTACAGACGTAGCTTCTGAATCTCCACCTGAATGAAAAATGAAAATGTGGTGAGGAAAATGGGAAATGTTGTTTGGAGTAAAAGGAAATGGAACAATACAAAAATGTACGTTTTACTTTATGTTATCAACTGACTGGTGGGAAAGGTAAAACATTTGATGTATTGATTGATGTATTCTATTGATGTATTCAGTTATAGTTTGGATTCGTCCAATAACCTTTTGCTTCATTTAGAAAGTAAAAAGTAAAATTATAAAAATTGACTTCCTTCCTTTCTTTAAATACATTGAGAATATTGTATGTATGCTCTTTTTTATTGTGTGAAGCTGCATTTTGTGTAAGGTGCTGTATAAATATCATTATTATCAGTCAGTCGAGGCAGACAGCCACCCAACTTTCTCAGATCAACAAATATTTTTTGCTTCATGAGGTACCTCCTGCACATGGTGACAAAATGTATTATAGACATTTCTTTGTTTTTGAAGGTATGCTTAGACCTCTCAAGTGCGGTGTACTTACAGGCACAGTGATGTCTGTTCCACGCCTCTTTGACAACTGTGTCTCTCCATTGATGTAAATAGGCTCCACCGGTTCCAACTTTACTTCCTGGATTGTTTGATCGTCAAGGAAACTGGTGACCTGGTGTGGCCTCACCAGTAGTTTGAGCTGATGCCACTTTCCGTCATACAGAGTCTGAGAGAAGGCACAAATATGAGATTCATAAATACATCACGGTTATCTCAAATATAATAATATATTTATTGAGATGTTGTTCATTTATGAGACTGAAGCATATCTTTGTTCAAGCTTTGAGTCATGAGCAGAGTTGGAAACGATTATTAAATTGTCAAATCTTCTTTCACTCAGCCTTCCACTTCTGTTGGCAATCTTTCAAATCAAATTTTGCCCGAAAAGGGCCAAAAACGCGTGTTTGCTAAATGCTCCACAAATGGGTTTGACCAGAAAGGTATTAAGACCAAGAAGTCCTTCCTTTTTCCATCACAGTCTTTTTCTTGAAAGCTCAAACCATACAGATGGAGGAGTGAGAAACAGAGCAGCTATTGTTTCGTTGGGACTGAGCCATAGCCACCCTTTCCAATTGACAAATCACAGGCTTCTACCTTGTCCCACATCAAACCAAATCAAATCAAACATACGCAAACACAAAATGAACATAATTACAACCCTGGTCAACACTCTACTCTAAAGTCTAGGTGTGTTAGGACGGGTGGTGGGTGTCTTTTGGAAAAAACAACCCGGCGTGTCCAACTGGATGTATTATTACCTTGTGCTGCCATGGAAACAGAGGCATGTGCTCCAAGAACCACACATCTACCAACCAGTTTCCACTGGGGAAATACAGTTGGTTTAGAGTAGGAAACGTTTTCTTTGAGCCTCCCTCCATCACATTATATCTTCACCGGTTCAGCTGTGTATTGAACTGAACAGGGGATGATGTTTAAATAACTGCTAGTTTGGCTCTCTGCAAGTCATCCCAGTCATGTTCGTTCACAGCAACCAACATGAAGGGAAACCTGAGATTGGAAGAGACAGAGTACTCTCCAGAAACACAAAATGTTCTTTCAGGGGCAGGAAAATGACACTAGCACAGCACAGTACACTCTTTATATTGTGATATTTATGTATTGCTCACATTCATGTGCTTTATGAATCAACTTCTTGAGGTTTCATTGTGAAAATATTAGTAATAATGCAAGCTTAAGCAGCTGCATTAAATTAGTTTTTTTTAAAGCTGCATCCAGTGATTTGTGACCACTAGAGGGCAGGGCAGAAAGATTCTCACTGTAATGAGCCTTGTTGAACTGAAAGACTCTAAATACCCCTGAAAGACTGTATAAATCCAATAATCAGGGGGCTGGGGAGTGGGCCACATTGGTCTCCATGGGGATGAAGTGAGATTTCTTCCCATATCGGTACAGACATGAATCTTAATCCTAATACCAACCTCAAAGCCAGTTTTAAAGGTGACTCTCTGCTCCTTTTCTGTAATACTGGTGGTGGTGAACATGACAGTTTTGTCCTTCCCACTTAGTGTCACTGCAGCCTGGATCTTCTTATCCTTAGACAGCACCCTCCAAAGGTCAAAGGTTAGCCTGCTAGGAGACCCCTTTAGACGCAGGGTGGCCACGAACACATAGGATGGAGGGAGACCCTCTGGGAAAATCTCCCTAGCATAAGGATGAAGTAAAAAAAACTAAATATAAACAGTAGCAAAAAATTAAATTAGTAATTAGTAGATTTTGAAGAACTTCATTACACTCGTCAGGCAGTATTCTACCTGGTGTTCTCAGTTATGTCTATGGAGGCAGTCAGAGCGTAGGCTGTCTCAGAGGTCAGAGAGCCAGGGATCTTCTTGGCCTTCATCTGAACGTTCATGCCCAACATGAGCTCAAAGCCTTTCTCATCACGAGATGCCACTGGGATTCGTGTTGGACACACAGACTCTAGAAAGAAAAGGGTCACTTATTCAGACAGCTGCAAACCTCCACATAGATATGCAAAAACTGTCGGTCAGTTGTGTTATTTGGTGGTATATTGATTTGTATTTTTATGGACAACACAATTCAACTGAATTTATTCTCATACAACAATACAATATATACATTGTTTCCATGGAAAAAAACAGGTGTATCTAATTAACAATGGCTCAGCCTGTTTTAATGTTGTTAATTACGCCTGTCATTTTTCTGCTCTCACATCTCAAAATGTCTGCCATTTTGCTCTGCTTCCTTCTGCTCTTCCTTCCAGTCTATCTCACCATTTTCAGTGAGAAATGACAACTGGTTGACATAACCTTAGCTAACAAGCTACATAACACGTAATTACTGAAATTTAATGGTAACAAAAGGACATTTTATTGCCTTATAATACCATTAAGGCTAATGCGTTGGCAAACAATTGCCTATTTAGCTACACAATGAGCAGAACAACATTAGCATCCTGTGGGAGTCATGCTTTCTCGTAAGCTTTTAACTCTGTTTTAGCCTCCAACAACTCCTAAAATATCTTGCTCTACTATCATCTTGCTTTAGCTGTTTTTTTCTTTTGGACTTTCCTCAACAGCTATGGTAACGTTAGCGTTAGTAGCTAACTCTATGGGCTACGCTAGCTAAGTTAGCAAAAAGGATTAATCAGAGCTTTTTTGTTGTGCTGTCAAACCAGAAAAATTTGTTTAAAAAAATGCTACCCAATGTGCTTGTTACTAGCCAGGCCCCTTCCACATTACCTTCTTTAGTCAAATATGAGTAAAGTGACCAGTAGGCTAGGTCTGAAAAAACTTCTGCCATACCTGTGACTTACCAAAATGCCACCTTTCAACAATGTCAGCTCTGTCAGTTACAAGTTTCAGGCACTGTTCACTATTATCTATTTCATAATTATTTATTTAATATTGAACATTTTGGGGTTCCAGGGTCATGAATCCTCAACAGTGAACACTGGCCAGCTTTAATGAAAGTATTCTGTGTTTGCCTTTAATCATTTATTTGCCACCTTTTGTAAAACTGCATTTTATCTTACTATTTCCCCTGGTTACAGCAGTAAAAGTCCCATTTATTTTTTCCCCTTAAACCATATTATGTGGCTCACAGTTCTATGGCTTAGATCAGCAAGAAACTCAATCAATTCAATCATCAGTACAAGGTATTAACAACAGCGTTAGGAAGCATCTGGCTCTTTGATCAGAAATCGATGGTACAAGCATGTGTACATACCTTCACAGAGCTTTTGTTCCATGGAGTCTCGGATACGGTCAATGGTGGTGTAATCTTCAGCATACAAGACATAGGTGGTTGATGGTTTATTGGCGATGGATACCAGCTCCGAGGTGGTGATCTCACTGCCAACTCCAACGGCGAATACTGTAATGCCCTGAGCTCGTGCCTCCATACTGGCATCCACCTAAAGATACAAAGGTTATCTGTGGTGAAAATGAGCACCCCATACAGCCAACAGCTATAGTGTGGTAATCCCAAGCCAGATGGTGTTTCGTTGTTGAGGTTCTATGGATGGGGGTACGGAGCATTGCGAGATCTTGGCTTTGA